GTGATTTGCCTGAGGCCGAAGGGCTAATCATGGAGAAGGGAAGATTTGAACCCAGTTCCGGTGACTCTGAAGGGCAGACTTCTCATGGCACCAGCAGAGGGAGGTCTACCCACATTTCCACCCCCTTCCGCATCTGCCAGCTGTAGCATCTGTGGAACAGTGGACTGCGCTTCAGAGGGCAGAGCTTAGTGTTTTGGTTGGCAGTGGGGATGTTCAGGCAGGGAGTGAGGCCAGGAACCCAGGAGGAAAGAGGAAAACCCCTGAGGGGTGCCAGGGCTGGGGGAGGTAGAGGCCTGACCTTCTCCTGCAGCCTGCCGGGGACCCCAGGGGGAGGAGGGAAGCAAGCAAAGGAAATCCTCCCTCCTCCCTGGCCTTGGCTCCCCTCCCTGGGGCCTCAACCCCAGCCCAGCCCCAGGCCTAAAGGTCTGAGGCTGAGCTCAGTCCCCACAGGCTGGGTTGACCTGCAGGCTGGGTGACCCCCCAAAGCCTCAGGCCTTTGCTGTCCCACCCATATATGGGGACCTTGAACACCTCCAGAGATCCCCAAGGGCCTTTCCAGCATGGTTTCTAAAACCCATTAGCCACCTGCTCCCTCCGCATCCCCAAGAACAAGGCAGAGAGGTGAGAGTGTTCAAGGACAGAAGGACATGTCCCACAGTCCTTCCTGCTCCTAGGGCAAAATTACTGGGAGTCCTGGCAGTGAATTGCCCTCCTGGGGCCTGGTTCAAAGCTTAATGAGGGTGCACATCAAGGTTAGCTGCCTGCTCATTCTGCCCCCCAAGGGCCTCTACCAAGGGGTCCTGGATAAACATACTCAGTAATGACCCCAACTTCACCTAGAACAACCCCTCAGTGCCACAGGGTCAGGGCCACAGAGACTTCTTCACACAGAGCTTGGGGAGCATGGCTAGGGCCCCTGTGTGGTCCTCGTTGCTGATCATCCAACCCTTGTTCCCACCCAGTGTGCCAGTGGGAGCCCCTCTGCCTGTCCTCAACCCCCACCTCAAGGCAGGGAGCCCCTCTCCTGGAAGCCTTCCCTGATGGGCCAGGTCTCCTCTGGACCCCAGAACTCTGAGTGTCCTTGGGTTGCAGTACTGGCCTATGCGTGGAGACTGCTGGAGAAGGTGGGATCTAAGCAGAACTCAGAAGGAAGGAAGGACACTCCAGGTGCAGGGACAGTACAGAGTAAGCCTGAAAGGCCAAGAGGGAGTGATCAGGGATCCTAGAGCAGGATCTCCAGCTCTGGCCAGCAAGTTAGGCCCCGGCTGGGCTCCATGCAGTGGTGCTGGTAGGCTTTGCTGCCCTCCAGGGACCCAGGACAGCAAGACACCCCCCCCCAAACAGTTCACCAACCAGGCCATTTTCCAAAACACAAACCCAAACCTCCAAAATAAATCTTTGGCCCCAGTGCCAGGGCTGGAGGTTGGGGAATAGCACTGATTCTGGGACTCCCCTCTCCCTGGGGTTGATAAAAAGTCCACCCGGAAAACTATGGGGCTAACCCATCCCAGGCCCACACTACTGCTCTCCAGCCTTCTGTGGTTAGCTCTTTGGCCACGCTTAGAAATTTCATATGTTCCTAGTGCCGGCATCGTTTGATGGCTCTAATCAAGACATCTAGGCTGTCATCATCTCACTGCGTGACCTTAGGTAAGTTCCTTCACCACTCTGCGCCTCAGAGAAAACCGTAGATTCTAATGAATTTGGCAGAGAAGGTGGCCAGACCTAGGATAGGAAGAGAGTCTAAGTATCCAAAGCAGCTGCAGTGAGGTGGTGGGGGGGGAGGGCTGGAGGAGGAGTGAAGGAGGATTCCAGGCTAAGGGTAGAAGGGCTGGGAGGGGAAACCGCCAGGTGGGACCCGCCCTCATCACACCTGCTCATTGTTTGGGGGAAAGTTACTCTGAGAGCTGAGAGCCAGAGCTCAGAATCAATCATGCCATAATTAGGGTCATTATGAATCTTACACAATGATGTCAGGGCCTCCTATTTACCCAACACTTCTGTCCCAAGAGACCTCGATTGCTCTTTCTCTGGGAGAAAGGCTGGAAGCCAAGGAAGACCAGATCTTACTCCTGTGTGGCTCTCCAGTTCTCCCACCCTCCTGGCTGGCCTCCCTAGGAAATGGTCCCCCAGCAGGAAGGGGCGGTGTCCTCCCTGAAACTGTGCATTCAGGGGACCATCTGTCCTGTCCCTCCAGCTCTTTTGCTCTCTTACTGTGAATTTCAGGGGCCTCCTGCCTCCCCTGGAGCTGAGGGGTTCACTGACAATCAGATGTGGACCTCTCTTCCTGGCAGGGAGACAGCCTCACTGTAGCAGCAGCGGCTACAGTCACGAGCTCACTCACAGTGCTTACAGTTTACAAAGAGCTTCCACAGCTGTCCGGCCATTGAAGTGTCACACCAACTCCCAGGCCATCAGCAAGATCCCCACCTCACTCACAGACAAGGAAGCAGAGGATGCTGGAGGCAGGACTCACCCAGGACCAGGCTGAGGACCAAGTCTGCTGAGCCCCTCCCTTAGGTAAGGCCCTTAGGACACAGACCTGCATGTGTGGGACACACCTGGGCAGAGGCCAGGCTCAGACCTCTCTGATTCCAGTCAGCTTCGGCTGAGTAGTCATCAAGAATGACCTGACCTCACAGAGAGCAGAGCTGAGCATCTCAGAGCTCAAACTCCCAAGCGCCCCAAACCAGTTTTAGAATTACATCACCCAAGACCGTACTCTCAAGAAATCCTGGAATAATCCAGTTGGGGTCTCAAGACTATTAAGCCATAAAATGTCAGCCTAAACAAAGTCCTAGAGCCATTCTCTCTAGCCTCCTCTCCCTGGTGGTGGCCCCAGCCTTCCAGTGGGGCCACAGGTGTGTGCACTCCCAGCAAAGCTCTGCAGGACCTCTAGGTTCTCTCTAAGCCTCCAGGACTGTAGGGAGGCCTCCTGCCCACCTCCCCCACTGGCACTGACGGGTTCCCCCTGGTCCAGGTGGAGCCAGCAAACAGGCCTAAGTTCTCGCTCAGGCCTCATGGGGAGCCCCAGGGTCTAGGGAGCAGACTCACCATCCTCCACCCCTCCAGTTGATTCCAGGGGCCTTCCCCAGGAGCCTCAGTCATAGGGCCTGAGGTGACTTTTTCTGATGCTTCTCCCTGGGCCCAGGAGAAGGGGGGCCCCCTCCCAATGGGGAAGGGGAGGAGGAAGCTGAGTCTAGCAGGGCCTTGCACCAGGGCCTTGTCTCTGCCTGGTGTTTACCCCTGCAGGATGGGGCTAGTGATTTATTTTATTTACTTATGTAAACTAGCAGAGTTGCTATACAAACAGGCTTCCCAAGCAGGCCCAGGACGGAGGTCCTACCATCTAAGCAATCCTTTCACTTCCTTCCCTGACACCTACCTCTCCAGCCTGCCCTCCCGCTGGCCCTCCTCCTAGTCTGTGCTCCAAGGACACCAGGCTACACAGCTGTCCCACCTCCACGCCTGTGCCCAGGCTGGGCAAGCTGCCAGGAAAGCCCTCCCCAACCCCAACCAAATCTCGTCCATCTGAACTAATGGACCCTGTGCAAGGCTTAGTCTGATTGCCCCCAGAGGTCCAGGGTGTCCTCCCTCCGCACTCATCATCTGACAGAGCTCTTGAGAACACTCACAGGCCTCAGCACTTGGTAATCATCGGCACCCTGGCTGCCCTGCCCCCAGGCTCAGAGCTTTTCCAGGCTGAGGCTTCTTATTCAAGGTGGCCAAGATTTTCTGAAGACCTGTAGTGTCTGTTGCCCTGTGCCCAGTGATGGGGACAAAAGATACCCCTGCCACCCCCCACCCTGTCCCCGGTCCACTTTCTGCTAGAGGAGTCTGGAATAGGGGGTCTGTGTCCCCTGCATTGGGCCTAGCACCAAGGAGGTGCCTATGTGCTTGACGGTTAGAAAACCTGGTGAAACATGCAAAGGAAGGAAAGAAGGAATTAATCAGAGCTGTGTAAACCACACGACTGCAGAACCACTCCTGAGCCTGAGCTGAAGTCCGCCTTTGAATAATAATTAGGCTTTTTCCAATTTACAGGAGAAAAAAAAATAAGTTACTAAAAAAAGTCTCAGGTACTTTTCTCCCACAAATTTTTCTTAAACCTCTGATATCTGTACATTTCTGCACCAGATCTAGTGCAAATGACCTCAGGTTTAGCATAGGATCCTAATTTCATCCCTGTCATTAACACTGCTATTCTTCACAGTATTCTGCAAAAAGCAGAAGTCTCTGCTTCTGGGCATGTCTCAGGACCCAGAATCTAAATTTTTCTTCACCTCTTTCAAATGACTTCTTTCTTCGGTGAACCAGAGAAAACCAACCTTACTCAAGTGCTGAAGAAGAAAATCCCAGGAGCTGGCCAGCCCACCTTGAAGGTCCCAGCCAATTCCAAGACTCAGGGACTCCAGTGCTACCACTTGCCATTCATTCCTTTGGCTGAAGCACTGTTTTCTTTAGGGTTCTAAATTAAATTTAAATTCTCTCTTAAAACACAAACCTTCCCTGGAATTAGGAACCCATTAAACCCCAAATTGGAGGTCAAAGAAATTTAGTTACCACTTGACTCCAGAGAGGCAGTGAATCCCAGGGCTTTGAACAGACCATCCAGCTGGGAAGGAGACTCACCTGGCTCTACCACGCGCCTAAATGAGCAAACCCTTACACCGCTCTGCCTCACTTTCCTCTTTTATAATGGGGCATCATGACACCAACCCTGTGGGCTTTTTTAAGGACTAAATGAACTATTACACAGAAAGCCCTTAGACAAGTGCCTGGTACACAGGCATTGTCCCAAGCAAGAGACCCCCACCCAGAGCTGTGGGTCTTATAAAATGGGTCCATAGTTCCCGCTCCTCTTGTTCTTCCATAACTGTTCTTCCCCTTCAGGAGAGGCAGGCATCCCATAGAAGCCAGGGGGCTACTCTCTGCGGCCGGTTTCCACCTCCTTTCTCTCTTCTTCCTTCATTTCTTTTTTCTTTACCCAAAAGACATACCAGTGGCTGCTAGCTGAGCTCCTGAGGGTGTCCTGTCCACGGAGGTGGAGATGTCACTTCACTGGAACACCTAAGGGGACAAGGGGACGAAAACAGTGAGATCCTTCATCACTCTGCCCTGCCTTCTACCCTCCACACCCTGCCCTTAAGGAGCCCCTAGCCTAGATGTAGATGTAGAGTCCAGTGATAGGTCACGCTGGTCCCTGCCCTGGGGAAGCCATGAATCTGGTGGCTTATCTAGTCCTGGCCCATGGGAACCTGGAGCATGCAATTCTTTTTCCACACATGCTGCCCACAAACCAACCAACCCCAAATCCAGACAGCACGCTTCTCAAACCACCTGTGCCCCTCTGCAGGGCCCACAGAAGCAGGACCCAAAGCCCAGCCACCCTGGGGGCAGAGGCCCTCTTCTGCTGCCAGAGACCTGCTTCTCTGAGGTAGCTGCCAGACCAGCTGTTCTTCCAAAGCAGCCGAAGGGGGGAGGGCCGGTGGGCTGGAGGCGGGATCTGGGGCACCGCAATTATGTGCCTGAGTGACTCATGCATCACCTCCCCCCTCCCTGAGCTCCCAAAGCCAGCAGGGCAGCCCCCTGCCCAGGAACTGCGGGGAGAGATGGTAGTCTCAGGACATGGGGAGAAGAGGGGAGGGGAAGGGGCTTGGGGTCAGCACTGCAGGCTTCAGAGGTGCTGCTACTTTGCCTATTTGGGGACACTGAAACTGGCAAAGCCAAGGCCTTCCTATGTTACCCAGAGAGGCAGAAGCAGAGCCAGGGCTGGGACCCAGGGCCATGGTGTCTCAGCCTAGTGCCCAGCCCTGGGCCTGCGTCAACATGAGAACTTTCCCCAACCCAATCAGACTCTGGAAGCAAAAAGCACACTTCTGACTTAGCTTCATACCAGGCACCCAAAGTTGGGCTCAGAAACAGCTTAGACAGACCCCAGAGCACCTTAGCCCTACCTCTGCACCTCCAGTGGCCAGGTTTTCCACCATGCCTGGAATCCCTACACTTCATTTACGAAAACACACTTGTTTCCTTTATTCCCACAATGATCCTAAGGCCTAAGTGACAGGAGAATATAAATAGACTATGGCTTCTCAAACTTCAGTGTGCACACAAACCACCGGGGATCTTGCTAAGCTGCAGTCTGACTCAGTAGTTCCAGGCTGGGACCTGAGAGTCTCCATTTCTGACGCGCTCCCAGATGATACCAATTCTGCAGGTCCACAGACCACAATTAAGCAGTGAAGATATTATTGAGAGCATGATTCTGGGGGCCACACTGCCCAAGTTAGAATCTTGACTTTCATAGTGTGAACTTGAGCAAGTTACTTCACCCCTCTGCATCAATCTCCTTATGTACAAAATAGTAATAATAAACCTACTCCATGGGGCTGATGTGAGGATTAAATTAGCTAACGTGTGAAACACTTAAAGTTTACTTAAATTTTAAAGCAGAGGTTCTTAGAGGTAGGCAGACTTCACAAGGTGGTGAAGTTAGAATTCAAATCCAAATCTCTCTTTCTGTCTCTTGTCTCTCTCTTTCTTTTGTACTGGGGATTGAACCCAGGGATGTTCTACTGCTGGGCTACCTCCCCAGCCCTTTTGATTTCTTATGTTGAGACAGGGTCTCCCTACATTTTCAGGGCTATTGAACTTGGTCTCCTCTTGCCTCAGCCTCCTGAGTAGCTGAGATTCTAGCTGCGTGCCATCAGGCCTGGCTTACACCCAAATGTCTTAATGTAAACCCTGCCGCATCAAGCTGCACAAAAATGTCACAGCCGCAAGTCCTACACCCATTGGATAGACAGACATGGACACTGAAGCCCAGAGAAGGGCAGGGTTGATGTCCATGTCTCCTGGCCCGGTGCTCTTTCTGCCACACCTCACCGTCCTGTAAGGAAGAGAAAGTATCACCGAGTCTCCCTGAGTGGTACCAGCTCTGCTGTCAGCCCCACCTGTGAGAGCCCCTGCGCACAGGCTGGGTGACGCAGAACGATCCAATCTCTGTCTTCCATTTCCCGTCTCCTACCTCCAGCCTGGGTCAGGGCTCAGTCTCAGGGTCACCCAGCTGGGGTCCAGTCACAGAGTGTCATGCTGAGGCCTGGCTCCATCCCAACCTTGACTCCCCAGCACAGGGCCAATGGGAGCCTGTGAGTCACTTGAAGGAAGTGCTTGGCCCCAAACAGGAAGTGGCCCTTTAAGCTGAAACCCCCCACCCCTGCAGGATGGCCCTAGGACCCTGGGACAGGAAGTAGAAGTTGATGAAAGAAGGAAAGCTGATGGGACACAGCAAGACCTGTTCAGATTTTACCAGAAACTCAAACGTGGCCTGCACCCTCTGCTTTGGGACACCTGGCCTGGGGACTTTCCTGCTGTGGCCTGGTAGTGATCTCAGGCGCATCAGTGCCCTTCTCCGAACCTCTGTAGGATCATGGGCTGCACTAAAAGCCTCCTGTGGCCTGGCGTTCTACAAAGAGATGAAGCACTGGTGCAAGAGCATTGGTGCAGGTTGTTTATATGAATGAACAAACACACCTGAATGAAATGGCTAATAAAGACACCTCAACTCTAGCGGCAGCACAGGACCCATCTTTAATCTGGTGCTAGTTGTATGACAGAGGGTTTCTCACTGGCCAGAAGACCCACTCCCTAGACCACCCTTAGATGGGGAAAGGAGCCCCCCAACCAGCCCCACAGGTCACAAAGGCACACACATCTAAAGAACGCACACAGGAGTCCTGTCACGCGACACCCACGTGACCTGTAATCCTAAACATTTGCTTTCCTGACACCACTCAGGCCCCAGCCGAACTCTTCTCCATTTCTTGAACCTGAACAACAAAAGGTGATTCTGTCCAGATGCCAGGAAGGTCATTTGCTGAGGGGGGTGGATGCTGCCTCGGAGGCGAGGGAAGGTGGAGGTGCACGGAGGGGAAAAAGAGTCAGAGGGAAGACAAATTAACTTGTCAACTCCTGTCTCTCTGACAGCGACGTGCAGTAGCTTCTTGCATAACCAAGTATCAGTTTTCCAGTAATGCTGAGCATCCTTTTTTTTTTTTTTTTTTTTGCATTTCTTCCTGTTCCATTTTGTGGTTCTGAAAGTACTCATGAATTAGTGTGGTATTCACAAAAAAACGAACGTGTTGGCTGAGGAATCTCTTAACAGTATTTAACAATTCCTATTGTTCCAACATAACATAAAACGTGATACTAGTTCTTTAGTTTGGCAATGAGATGGACATTGAACACAACTATGAATAGTCTCTCTCTCTTTTTTTGTGTGTGTGATGCTGGGGATTGAACCCAGGGCCTTCTCCATGCAAGGCAAACACTCTACCAACTGAGCCACATCCCCAGCCCTGAATAGTCTCATTTTAATAAAGTTTTTGAATTGGTATTTCATCTCTAAATAATTTTATTTAAAACCTGATGTCAATTGATGTACATTGTTTTAATTTTAACAGATATTATAAAAACAAGTTTTGAAAATTTAAATAAATGTTCCTGTGTTTACATTGGATTGGACATACGTTCAAATTCTACACATTAATTTTGGTGCTGGTGATGGACCCCAGGGCCTTGTGGCATGTTAGGCAAGTATTCTGCCACTAAGCTCCACCACTGGCCCTCAACTTTAGATACTTCGAAATATAATCATATTTTACTTCTAAGCCCTTTAGGTTATTGTAATTAATAGAGCGCAAATAATAGGAAAATCTTGATTATAACAATAAAATTAGTGATTTTGATAAAATGAAGATAATACATGTTATAAAATAAGTAATCATAAATCATAAGTCTTAATATTTATCCAAATAACCCCAGCCCATCAATAAGCCAAGCAGAGTTGGGCAACAATAACTTCAGACATCCTTGATATTTTGTCACTTCAGAAGGCCGAGGCAGGAGGATTTTGAGTTCAAGGCCAGGCTCAGCAACTTAGCAAGGCCCTAAGCAACTTAGTGTGACCCTACTTCTAAATAAAATATCTAAAAAAGGGCTGGGGATGTGGCTCAGTGGTTAAGTGCCCCTTGGTTCAATTCCTAGTACAACAAACATCAAAAACACTATACCTTTATGCATGTGGTTCAATTTACATAATGAAGGTATGTTTTTCAAGGTGGGAAGGTCACACTTGTTTTATTTAATAGATTTAATAGGCTGTCACTCAGCTCTGTTCCTCCCATGGCAGGGGGTGCTTCACTGCAGGGGGTGGGCAGAGGCGGGATGGAGGTTTAGTTCCTGGAATTCATACACTAACCCCCC